CTATGGGATAAATAGTGAGCACCATGGGCTCTGCCAGATACCTTTTTTTATATGAATTAATTGAAGTTTTTCTCCATTTCGCGTTGTACTGGTTCCAGTTCACCTTTTTCGTTCCTGACAATGCATGACCAACGGTCAGAACCGTACAAGTTCCATGACAAATTCAACTTGACATGTTAATGTGTTGAAACTTGAAAGAGATGGAAGAAATGCATCAATTTTAGGGAAGAAAAATGAAAGAAAAGTTTACAAATCCAATATAAGTTACTGGACTTATATAAATATGTATCATAGAGTGACTGTTGATGATAAGAAAGTATTTGATATATGATGGGGCATTAAACCCTTAAAGTTTAATCCAACTGTTAATCAGCAAAAAAAAAACAAAACAAAAAAAAAGGGAAAATACCTTTATACAAAAATGAGCTGATGGACAAGAATGCTATTACGCTACGGTACATGCAAATAAAAAGTAGTTCCTCATTTTTGTATGGTTTTCTTGCTTTTTTTTTTTTTGCTCTTTTATTTTGGGTAATTCAATAGGGAAGAGAGGCTTGAGTTAGCTTTTCGAAAAAGTCAGTGAATCTTGTGGGATTGAAAACCACAATGTGGTAACTAAGTATAGGGATGTTGTAGGGATCTCTAGCACCCAATAGCTTGCGGAACCAATAATCCCAAATACTGGGATCCTACCCAAGATCGTATACTCAATTGGTCGAATGCGAATTAGATAAATACAACGATAAATAGAGTGTGAGAAATAAAACAAACATAAAAAGCATACCACAACAACACACGGTTTACGTGGTTCACCTTGTAGGGCTACATCCACAGTCTCGGCAACTAGAAATCCATTATCACAATGAAGATTACGTTTTTCGGTTACAAAGAGATAATACCTATCTCTAAACATCAATAAATGACCATCACCGATCTTTCCTTCTAAATCCGCCCTCCTGACCGAGCAACACCGTCGATCAACATTTTTTTTTCCACCGCAATACCGCTACTGGAAAGATAATCTCGAGAGCAATATAGAGGTTTTTCTATCTAGAAGTGAAAGTTAACCAACTCAAAATTCATGAAAATACCGCCCCTCTCTCAAAGGTCATGTTTCTCTCTCTTGGAGACCATCTCCTTATTAGATATCCATTTCCATAACCCCTAAAGAGGTGACTTTCAAAAGATGAGTATTATATCATCATTTATTCTCTTATAAAAATATCACTTTCTTGCTTTTCAATAAAATCAATTTTATATTTTCTATAATACCTTAATCTTTAAAAAAATATATAAATATAGTGATTTAACTATCACCAAACCCAAAAAATGCTACCACCACGATCCAACCCTATATCTTTTTTGTATTTTGGTACAATTAAGGTTTCGAAACCATAGCCATCCTCACGCTCTTGCTGATTGGACGTAGCTTGAGGAACTTTCCATCAATGATTCAAAAATTACTCATTTGACTTGGAATTCCCTAAGCCTGATTAGGACCATCAGGTGGTGGGTAGCTATGGAATTCCCTAAGCCTCATTAGGACCGTCAGGAGGTGGGTAGCCATGAATTGTGAAACCGTAAAATTGCCTCGGGCTCACCTAATTCATGTTTTTTATAATTTTTTTCAAACACCCGATCGGACTTGGGAATTGCTTTAGTCAAACTCAGAGAATCATTGTTGGATCCCTGATAATTCAGAGCCATATTCCAATTTCTAAAATCAACATTGTCCATGGTAAACACATTCTTAGCTCATGGTTCTCGTATCTAATTAGTCTATCTTTACAACTCTTCTATAAAAATATTATGTTTTTAGTTACATTTGAAAAAAAAAAAATTGCAACAAATGCCATATACGTGAGACCAGACCGGGAGAGACAAAATTCAAGGAAATGTTATTTTGAGATTTGAGAGAGGAAGATAAAGACGAAACAAAGGGATAGAGAGATGAAAAAAGATGAAATTGAGAGATGAAAATCAATAAATTCCTTATCTCCAGACAATTTTTTTTTATCCATCTTTTTTACTTCTAACAGTGAAAGCTTTATGAATTAATGACTTACTTTCTAGTTCTTATTTATCGATGTCAAGAAAAGGTGATCGATGCTTTATGCTTCCTCTCTCTTGAAAATCCGAGAAAATCTCCTTCACTCATTTGTTTTCTATTGAGATAAGAGGAGAAGATTTGATCACTCCATAATTGAGAAAAGCTTATCCTATAAGCTTTATTAAGAAACATGTTTAATGTCATTGAGCCGTTAAGAGTTTGAGCATTGCAATGCTTTACTTTTAGTATCTCTTAGCCTTCTCTCTCAAGCCCCCTCCCTCTACCCTCGAACCTGTTTTTAGCTTGCTATTAGGGGTGACAACGGGTTGGGTTGAGTCCCCGTCCGGCAGGATCTAAAGTTATTGGACCTGGAGCCGACTGGACCTAGCTGGACCTGATTTGGACTTGGACTTGAACCTAATTAGATCCAATCAAAAAATCAAAAAATATATATTTACCAATATTAAAATATTATATTAACTATACATGAATTATTTAAATATTATAATCAAAATAAAATATATAGTTATATTTATTTTAATATTATTAAAATATTATATATTATAAATTATTTAAATATTAGCATTATTCGGGTTGGGTTTGTGTCAGGTCTATATGGGCCTAGACCCAAACCCAGACTTGAATAATGTTCGGCTCCAAAATTTGGACCCAGGCCTGACTTGCCGGATCCAAGTTTTGGACCCATACCCAGACCCAAGTCGGGTCTGGTCGTCACGCCCCCGGGTTGGGTCTAGATCCATTGCCACCGCTGCTTTCGTTTATGTTGTTGTCCCCTTAAGGTGGCAGCACAATGAATTTAGGAGTTCCTCGTGCTTTTTTTTGAAGCCAAGATGAGAGAGACTTTCCGCTTGACTAGGATACTAAATAATTCATCACTTATGAATACTTTGATAAATTTCCTTTAAAATATGGGAGAAAAGTTCCAACACTCATTTGTTGTTAATCAAAAGTAGGTATTTTAGAAGATGAGAAGCCTTGATCACACAATAATTGAGGGGAGGTCACCCAATTTGCTTTATTAGGAAACATGTCTAGTGTCTCTGAGGCTTAGGAGCTCTGGCTATGGGTGGCAATGGGTCAGGTTGGGTCGGGGTCCAGCCCCAAACTCGACTGGACCTAAATTCATTGGAATCAAACCCAAATCACGACCTGGACCCAGATTTGAAAATATAATGTGGTACCTAGACCCAACTAGATCCAACTCAAAAATTTTAAAATATCCATGCATTTAATTATACTTAAATATATTTCATATATTAGGACCCGAAGAGCATTACAGGACTCAAGACCCAGACTCGAATAGTATTCAGATCCAAGATTTGGACCCGAATACGACCTGTCAAGTCTAATTTCTGAATCCATACCTAAACCAGGATCGGGTGCCGGGTTGGATCCGGATCCATTGTCACCCCCATTTGATGGTTATGAATCCCTTGAGACCTATTTTTGAACTTGAAGGAGTGTGTTCACAGGCTTGCTGGTGGTTGCCTTGTGGCCATAATTCAAGGAGAGAGAAAGAGGACAAACGTTAATGCTGGGGTTTCAGACCTAACTCTCACTCTCCTCTTTTTTTGCTTCACTCGGCTTCTCTCACCACATGGCACACATCAAGACATACACAGGGAGATTCTCTCTCTCTAGCGCTCTACACATTCAACAAAAACAATTTCTGGATCTCTCTTCGTCTTACACCATTACTGCTCAAGTAGAAAGTGTGACAAGCTTCTTCCAGGGGCAACAAGGGACAAAGAAACATTATAGCTTATGAGGAAAAACATTTCAGGCTTGAATGAAGATGCTAGATTATGGAGCTCCTTAAATTGACGACATGGATTGGATAAGACACTACATGTAGTTTGGTATAAATAACAGTATTTCTTATGTGAGGGAGGTTTGATGATGGAGATTTGCCATTCTATTTTGTAAGGGTGCGGTTAGGGGTGGTAATGGTCGGGTTCGGTCTGGGCTGACTCGGACCTAGATCCGACCCGGACGGAACTCGTTTCTAGGGTTTTGAAACCGAACCTAAATACAAATCTGGTCTAGGATTTTGGTCACAGGGCCTAAAACTTGGACTTGAATGGGGTCGACCTGCCTCGATTGCCACCCTAGGTGCGGTTAACAAGGCTTAGGCTTTATGTTAGAAAGTAAAGCCACCCTCAAAACTTCTCCCAAAATTGCAGGTCTGATGCAGGAAACCCTATGACAGAAATCTAACTCAGCTCCTAATTATGAAACTCCAAGCATGAAAAATAGTATAACTATAGTGGATATGCAAACACTGGAAAATAAACAGCCCACCTAATGTATAACAAATTACAATTATTTTAATACTTGAAATTCATTTCTTTTTGGATCAATGATGTAATAAACAGGATAATCAATTTCAAAACTTTCCCGTGCTCGAACTACGTTTTCTCCATGGGACACAGATGCAGCTTTACTTTTTATGATAAAGCCTAAGCCTTATATACATCTAAAAGTGTGGCATACATGAGGGATGCAATTCTACATGTGCGTCCCCTTGACAAATCTAACATCCATCTTAGAGGTGGCCGTAATTTGTAAATAGGTGGTGGTCCCACCACCCATAAAACAACAGTTGAAATAATACATTAAAAACTATTAATTTACTTTTAAAATGACTTTTTTATATTCATATTCGTCATGATACAGATTCTCAAATCATAGGATCTAAAATCTAACAATTTTGGATGGAGGACTCATGTAAATACATGAGTCTCCGGAGTCATATAAACCATGTCCTAAATATATTCCTCAATGTTTATAGGGCGAATAGAGAGGGGGAGTAAAATGGTCATTTGGGAAGTTGAGGATGGCAAAGATTAGCGAGAGACGAAATGGTTATTTAGTAAAAGTTGAGGCTAGTTAGGTCGGCCTTCTTTTTTTCTGTCCAGATACAGACAGAAAATCAAGGTGAGTGCTCCTGAATTTTCTGAACATTCATTCACGGGCGCGTGCTCTCTCTCTCTCTCCTCATTTTCTCTCTCTCTCTAACTGTGGATAAGCCCAGTTCTGAGACCCAGACAGCAGCCACTTGACTCTTGATACCGGGCAAGAAAACCCAACTCTCTTTTTTCCAGTTCTTTATTACTCTCAAGCCATTTTAATATTTCATCTTTCCATTATTTCTTGCTCTGCAACTCTGCTGAGCTTCAGGCCTGGGCTCTTGGGATTTGTGCTGGAGTGTTGGGTTAGAGTGATATTTTGACTTTGTGGAAAATATTTGGGTTATTGTGCCATTTCCTTTCCTTTTTCTCCTCAGATTCTGGTAGTCATGTTGATTTTTCTTTTCTGTTAAAGCTTTATTGGATTCCGTTCGTGTCTGCAAGTGGGGTGGATTTGGGGGAAATTTAGGGTTTTGGTCGCTTCCTTTTGTGGTTTGTTTGGGGTTCTGGTCTTTTTATTGGATGCTCTTCATGGGTTTTGGGTATTGGATGCTCTTCATGGGTTTTGGGTATTGGGTCATGGGATTAGTCTATCAAATTTAACCCCAAACTTTCAAAGGTAACTGTTTCATGAGTATCTCTTTTCAATTTGAATACTGGGTTTCTTTCAGATGGTTACTAGTTCATGACAGATTTTGATTTTTGGGATTATTCTACTACTTGAAGCTCTGCTTTGTTGCTTTTAGCTTTTGTATTGAATATTTTTGCAATTTGAAAGGTGGATCCTTTTTGAAACACTCTCAACTTGCATTTCAGTTTTCAAAAACCCGTTTTCAAGTGTTTGTCAGTGTTTGAAGTAAAGTCTAGATCTTCGGAAGTGTTATCTTCAAACATTTCTTATTTGAGATTGGGGTTTTCTTCAAATACCTCTAAACTTGCTTTAATTGAGTGATATCTTCTTCCTTTGTCATGGATTGTCTTCGGGTTTTTCCTACCGATGCTGAATCTGAGAGAGGGGGCCTTAAACTGAGTCATCAAAATTCCAAGAGTTTCTCTGAGAATGGTGATCAGAAGAGAGAGACTATGGTGGTTAATCGTGAGAATTCCATTGTTCTTCAGGTTTACATTCACCATGCTAGAGATATCCATAACATATGCATCTATCACAAGCAAGATGTGTATGCGAAGCTCTCGCTCGCTTCTGCCCCTGAAGTCTCTGTATCAACCCAGATCGTTAATGGGGGTGGCAAGAATCCAGTCTTCAATGAAACCCTGCAACTCAATGTTCAAAACTCTGATTCTTCTCTCAAATGTGAAGTATGGATGCTGAGTAGAGCTAAGAACTTCTTGGAAGATCAGTTACTTGGATTTGTATTGGTTCCCCTCTCGATGGTAGCAGGGAAAGGGAGAGTCACTCAAGAATTTTCTCTTTCTTCTACTGATCTCTTCCACTCTCCTGCTGGGTTTATTCAGTTATCGCTCTGTTTTAATGGGGTTTTATCAGATGCGAGTGTCATAAGTTCTGGTCAAGCATCCAATCCTCTAACTAGTGGTTCAGATGCCAATTTACTGGATTTGGAAGTTGATGCTTCAGTCCCTAGTGAATACAGTAAGATTGAATTCCCCGATCCCCAGGTTGTGAATGAAAATGATCGAATGGTTACCGAGTACTTTGAAATTGCCTGCAATCTAGAACCCCAAAAGCCTGAAAGCTTGGTGACAACAACTGTTGAGAGTCCCCTGATATCTTCTAGTAGGGATTCAAGTGTTGAAGAAAGCTTCTCGAGCAGTGTATATTCTTCATCAAGGAAAGATGCAGCGAAAGAATCTCCCCCAATTTCCAGTAACTCTCAATCATCCAATGATATTTCTGGGGTTTTGGGATCTCAGAGTTGTGAGCATTTATCTTCTCAGACAAATGAAGAGAAAAGCAAGGATGCTACTAATTTGGAGACCAATTTCTCAGGGGAGGTACCTAAGAAACCCATTGACCTACCTGTGTTTGCCATAAATCTTGAGCCAGAGCAGCCAGTTGTGCAACAGGACATAGTTGAAATGTATATGAGGAGTGTGCAACAATCTACAGAGTCACTTGAAAAGATGAAGCTCCCTATGGATATTAAAAATGGGGGAAGCAGCTCTGATGGCACTGATTTGAGCTCCATTAAGAAGTTGCAGGCTTCTAAGACCACTGGTTCTAGGGTGTTTTATGGAAGCAGAGCATTCTTCTGAGCTTCTCAAGGATCTTTGGAAGTAAAACAGGTGATTCTAAATGAAGACTGGTTGTGATTTTATAGTTTAACTTTCTATAGCACAGGGTTTCCTTAGACGCGTTGTTGAACTTATGGACATATGGATGCATGAGTTCCAGGCCCATGTATCCCAAACTGAATTACACTGTCCTGACCATCTTTGGTTGTTTTTTATTTTCCTGCTTGTACTGCCTTTGAATATCTTTCTCCAAAGTATCCGGGGTGTTTTTTTTTTTTATTGTTATTTGTATACTTGAATTAGTTAGTGTTGCTTCTGAATCGTTTTGTGCCTAATGAAAATCTGTGTTTTTTGATGAAGTCGGTTCCCGGTCTTGTTACCAAAATTTGGCTGTTGTATCAAGGAAGAACTTTGTTTTATATCGAAGTTTGAGAACTTTGAACTCATAAGTCATTTTTTTTCCATGTTGATGGACCTTATAGAACCATACGGGTTATGTCGTCTTTATAGGTGTTGAGCTTTTTACCATTACGATTTTTTTTGTTAGAATCCCTTTTGTTTAGTCTTTCTTTTGCTCTATTGTTTGGGACCACATGCTTTGTATGTCTTTTCATTACATTTAATTAATTTATTTCTGTGAGCAATGCTTGCCGGAGCAAAGCAATTAACAGATTGAGAATGTATTGTGCTATATCATTCTGCAACTTAGGAGCTGTAATTTGTAAATGGTTTCACCACGAAAGGCTAACGTTGAAGGTGATTTCATAGCTTACTAAATATGTCCTCACAGTCAACCTTGCGAGTATTATTTACTCCGTGTTCACAAGTTTTACATTTCACTATTTAACTGTGATATGATTCTAAAGAACAATGATTATGAGTTATGAGTTTTATGATTGTTGTGTGAACTTTTTGATACTTATAGTAGGAGGCCTCCTTTGCAATCATGGAAGTATTTTGTGTCCAATGAAATATACATTGGAAGTTTTATTAAACCCATTACCTTTTTTTTTTTTTTTTTTCATATCCCATTTTTCACACTGGCTTTTATTGTGGCCAAAAGATTTCATACTCCCTAGGGATCATACTGTTCATTTACTCCCTCTAGCAAAGCTCAATGTAGGAGTATTTCTGGGCCCCAAATCCTGGGGATGCAACCTCTTCAACCCACATGCTATAACTCAATTAAAAAGAATTTTCAAACTAGCATTCTTTATGGGCTTGAAAAATAAAGTAATGCCTCAAAATTGAATACAACGCGTCTATTTTTTGAATGGTGAGATCCATTTTTGGAAAACTCAAATTTCAAGTATTAATTTTTTTTGGATATAATCATCTTGTCATTTATGCGTGGTTCCTCCAAAATTTCGGATAAACAAAAATCTTCCCAATGTTTTTATGTCAAAGGGAGTAAGTATATAGTATGCTCCTGCAGGAGCATAGTATATGCACTCTTGATTGTATCGGATGAGGTTAGCGGTTTATTTAAGACAAAGGCTTTATGAAAACAAAATAAAGCAAGACCTCAAATCTTCATCCCCAAAGCATTTTTGGTAATAAAAAATTCTATGATGGCATTAAAATCAATTTTCAACATTGACAATGAAATTAAAAAATTAAAAAAAAGTATAGCTTTTGCGGATTTATGAACACTTTTAGAGCAAAATAGACAGCCTAGATAATTTGTCACAATATTCTCTATATTTGGAGCTTGAAATCCTATTTTTATTTCTTTTACAACCATAATGTTCAAGCCAAGATAATCTATACAAAGGCTTTCTAACGCTTTGATTGCAATTTTTGATGGGGTATGAGGTGAGGTTTTACTTATTTTGATAGAGCTGCAGCCCTATCAAACCATTTTCCTATTGTATCGGTTATAGCTAAAAGCATTTGGTATGCATCATGGCATTTTTGTTTCCTTGAAGCCTATCAACATTTTAGAATGTATTATTTTTTAAATGATGACATGTCTTTTTCCTTCCGCTAGTTTAACAATTTGGATTGCTGCTTAAAAAGATAATTAGATTTAGGAAAAATTTCGTATAGAACTCTAATTCTGTGTATTATCTCATGGTAGGCCCTCTTTCGATCTGTTTTTTTTCACGCGGCATAAAAAAAAGCCTTAAAGATTTCATGGTACCTTTCATCTCTTATCTCTTTTTTTTTTATTGACTTTTGACTTTAAAAATTAGCCCCAACAAATTTCTTTTGCCATTTCATTCCAAAAAAATTTTAAATCATTTTTTTCCCTTTCTACCCCATTAAAAAAGTCAAATAAAAGAAGGAGGTAAGAGATGAGAGGATATGATGAAATCTTTAAAAGTTTTCTTATGCCGCTTGAAAGAAAAATAAAAAGAGGGTCTACCATGAAATAATACGAGGAATTACGATGCTATACGAAATTTTCCTTTAAATTTTTATTGAAATGCTAAAATGGGAGATTTTATTGACATGGTTGGTTGAAAGCCATTATGGATGGAAAGATGATGGAGGGGATGCTTACACTTATGGGTCCTAGGGTCCCCTCTTCACTTGTTTTAGGAAATTGTTTTTCATCAGAGCAACCCAGAATAGGGCACCTTATATCCCCCTTTTATTGTTTGTAAGCAAGATTCCTCCATTGTTGAGCAATCTGTCTGAAATATGAAATAGAGTGGTTAGGAAATTCTATACTGTCTTCTTACAATTATAATGAATCATGAATGCTTTCCTCTTTTTCCTCCTCATGCCACTCATCAACGCATATATATTGAGGATCTCTAAATGAGACTTGTAGTCTTGGGGCTCTTTAACTTATAACCCAAATCTAGTTTTGCATGTTGGACCAGTTCCTGGTGCCTTGCCAAATCCAGGCAACCTATGTGCAGCTCACTCATCAAGAAGACGGGGACGGATGCCTAGGAGGGTCCAACCCCCTGGGCGGCTGCCATGGTGACCATTGTGTAGTTTTTGTTCCTTTTTTTTTTTTTTTTGAAGGGAATTTTTTTTTTTGAAGGGAAGGGAGAAAGGGACGAGAAAAAATATATTTTAAACTTTTAAGTTTGCATTAAAAATTAGAAACATAGCCAAATATAGTGTAATATCTTTAAATTTGCATTATAAATTAAAAAGAAAGCCAAACATAGCTAAATATATATATATATATATATCAAGGTTTAAAATTTGCATTATAACTTAGAAACAAAAGAAATATGATAATCACAACAATAGCAAACCCTTTAAAAAAAAAAAAAAACCACTCATGAAGTTCCATCATAAATGTAAAACCTAACTTTGAAGATAACTACCTGAAAATGATGGAAAAGCATAGCATAACACAATATTCACAAAACTATGAATCATTAACAAAAAAAAAAAGCGGTTGTTTTTGAAGCCCAAATAGAATTCTTTGGGGTGTTCTGGGGCCAAAATGCCCCCCAAATGCTATTTCGCCCTTTTAAAGAGGGGAAATTACAATATGTAGCCCTTTTGGCAAGGGCAATTTTCACCCTAAAAAAGAGCTCTGGGCGGTGCCCTGGACGATTAGTCAGTCGCATAGGTACAGCGGCGCGCGCCCTCCAGGCGGCTGGGCATCCAATTTTTTGAGCCATGGGGACACTCATAATGGTCTATTCATTTGGCTATGTAATTTATATTCTACATCATGCTACCTCTATGTGAATTTCATTCTACCTTATTAAAATTAAAATAGGGCTCCATCATTTGTACCTGGTGCGAATTTCATGATTATCTCGATATTAGTTGGGCGTGCCTAGGATAGGTGTAGGGACCTTGGTATTTTTTGTTCAATCTTTGACAAAAATTCAAATCTAAACTAGAAACGGCGCAGTTGGCATGCAGATGCAGATGCAGAGGTAAGGTATACCTTCAAATTTTATCATGGTATATAATTTTGATGTAAAATATTATTACGATTATCTCAAAATCTATTTTTATATTTAATTATAAAATGTTAAATTAAAAAAATGGTTAAAATCTAAGTAGATCTATAAACATACAAAAATCTTGAAAATAGACGGTATAGATAATATGTTGTAAAATGTACTATTTTTGAAACTTAAAATCTTTTTTTTTTTTATAGTCATACATTTCAATGTCGAGATTATCAATCAAAGGGTTTTTCAACATTAAAACTACCTTTTCCGATGGATTTTAGAGGTGCATCTGTAGTTCTTTATTATAAGGTTGCATCTTTATATAAACTTTTTCCAACTACAAATCAGAGTTTAAAAGCTTGGATTTAAAGGCCATCTTGGTCATTGCCAAGACCGAGTAAGCTTAAGGAGTCAAATAGTCAACTAGAGCTTTTTTTAAGGAAAAAGTTTATATGCGGGCAGGCCGTAAGGTAACTCCCCATCACCACAGTCCAATTTGTTGGAAGTTGGTGTTGGACGGTATTGATGGGGAGTTACCATGCAGACTGCCTGCATGCTAACCACATCCTTTTTTTTTTGTTTTTTCAATTTTTTACTAGAATTTGAAAGAAAACATAGGGGCTGGAATGGGAATTGAGCAAGCTAGTCAAACGATTCGTACCACGATGCTACCACAGTAGAGGAGATCATCTACCTGTCAAACAAAAAAAAGAAATTCCTGATTTTTTTTCTTTTGAACATTAAGTAGGTTTCATTTAGAGAATGAAACTGAGTATGCTATACATAAGGATCTCACTAATAAAATTCCTTTCACACCAACGGATGTGGAAGCATCTTTCTGGCATTAAAATTATCTCGATCTAGCCCATACTTCCCAAGTATATCCTCCTCCCAGAGTTGATCGTTCTGTCTTGATAGTCGATACCACCTCTGTGTTAGAAGAGCTTCATTGACAGCTCTCGGTTTTCGGATGCCCAGTCCACCCTTTCTTTTGCACAGGCATACCGCCCTCCATTTAACCAGGTGGAGCTTCTTCTAGTTTTGACTAAAGGAAATTTCTCATTAAGGCTTCTAGCTTCTTGACTATGGAGGCTGGTGCTCTATATATGGAAAGATACTAAACAGAAAGATTGGCCAAAGTAGCCTCAACGAGAGTTACGCGATATCCAAAAGAGAGATATCTAGACTTCCACATATCAAACTTGTATTCAAACCTTTGGATTTTTGGATCCCACTTTGCACGAGATAATCGACCATCACAAAGCGGCATACTGAGGTACTTGTTGGGAAATAATTCCAATCCACATTCGAGCCACTCAGCCCAAGCGATTAATTCATGCAATTTGTTTACTCTGTACAATTAATTCATTGATGATAATAAAAAATATTACCAAGGATATGCAACCTTTGATCCACATAGGAAGCTTCTTACTTCCATGATTTTGTCAAGATATTTCCGTTGTACTCTATCATAGGCCATCATGGGCCTTTTCAAAATCAAGCTTAAGAAGAACATCTTTTTCGACCATAGTTATCGTGGA